GAGTTTGAAGAAATTCGATTTTTTCGCTATTTCCAAGTCTAGTTGATATTTAGGTGAAGCTGCTCTTAAGCTTTCTATCTCCTTTTTGATCAATTCTAAAAACAAATTCAAACGTTCCGGCATAGACAGGTTCAGAAGGTTATATCTTAGGTACTCTCACCTTCGTTTCAACTGAGGCATTGCGCTCGAGACCATGGCTTTGATTTGTTCACAGTTTAATGTTGGTACTTTCACAGCTCCATGTAAAATCCAGTTCGCCTTTGTTTCCCAATGTTAAAGCTGTATAGAGGGTCTGTATGGGGCGTGCTGGAATCTCAGTTAACAGTAAACTTCCAGAGATTTCTCAGCTGCTGGTGAAAATTACAGTCCATTTCTAAACTCTAAATCAACTTCGTGGAGACAATACCTCATTACCCAAATGAAGGTTAAGACTTTGAACAGTTCAGCTATGAGATAGACCTCCCCTATAAATCCACTCAATATCTCGTTGGGAGTGGCTTCAAGCAGGGTCACAATGAGTCCCATTTCTCAGCTATCAAATTGGTAGAGAAAACGCCTCAATTTCAGACTGACGGTGAAACATATTTTGACGAATTCAACTATCAGGTAAACCTTATCTAAATCCACTTTATATCTCGGATGTCATTGGCTTCAAACAGGGTCATTTTTAGCCAACATATTATTAACAGTTGCCAATGCAAAAATTTAACTCTAGACGCGATCCGTGTTGTACTCAAAATAAGGTGTCAAGTCTGGTTAATGCGAATATGTGTGTATTTTGTATACTTTGTAATTTCAACAAAAGTCCTTTTTAGCTGAAATAAGACACCGTTACATATTACAACACTGTTTTGAAACCCCAACAAATATTTATAGCGTTTATAACCTTTTTTTCTGACAGAAATTCCTGAGCCAGTACCATTATATATCTCCCTCGCGTTCAGGAAATCATGACGTGGAAACAGCCATCAGAAAATTCCAATAGTTCACTGGTCTGCCTGTGACTGGCACTGAGTTAGATGATGCCACTATTGCACAGACAAAGAAGCCACGTTGTGGAATGCCTGATGTTGATGAAGAAGGCCGTGTGAAGAGGTTTAAGACTGGGTCCAGATGGAGCAAGAAACACTTGACGTACTTTGTTGAGCATGGAGCAGACTTGGACCATTCTACTCAAGACAGAGTGTTTGAAAAGGCTCTGAAATACTGGGCTGATGTATCAGGACTGTCTTTCTCCAGAGCTTCCAGCGCAAGATCTGCTGACCTTAAGATCAGGTAAAAGAGGAACAAGAGATACAATCAGAATGTCATAAATATACATGAATTCATCATGAAAATGAAAACTACAGCCAAAAACTAAGTGAACAAAGTTGGATCCTAAACAGGCTCAGATCGATCAAAACGAAGGAATTACATCAACAATTTTCGAAAGACTAAAGAAAGTGTTCAGGTACAGATACAATATTTGGGCCGGTCACTGCCAACCTTCATCGGATTTCTTGAAAAGAATCGCCATTTTACATAGTTTATATACATTGAATATACACTTGAAAAACAAAGACGTGAAATTTCACACAGTTTTCATCATTTGATGCAATAAAAAGATAGACCATAGTACCTATGTATGAAAAAAATGACAAGAAGATGATTATTGATATAAAAATTCATCACATTTTTTATAGTGTGATAACGTGTACTTAAATTCAACCTTTTTGTGTTCAGCTGAAGCTTCACTCTCCCGCCTAATTTTATAACCTGTTAGCCAGGCATGTAGCCATTGCGGACCTATCTATACGTAAGACTACTACCTCGCTATGTCAGCAAGCTCGAAAATTATAACCACATCATGATATTCATAGCAACTCTTAATATGTCGAGGTGGGCCTTCCCTCCCCCCTCCCCCCTAAAATTACTTTCATATTACCTTTAATATTCCAAGCTTTGGAAGAACAACTCACGGTGGAAGCTCTGAGAGAACATGCGCCTACCCATTCGACGGAAAAGGCAAAGTACTTGCACACGCTTTCTTTCCCTCAGATGGCCGCGCGCACTTTGATGAAGATGAAAGATTCACCGATGGAACATACAGTGGTACAAACCTTCTGTGGGTGGCTACACATGAATTCGGTCACTCACTGGGAATCCATCACTCCGATGTCGAGAATGCCGTCATGTATCCGTATTACACTGGATATGTACCAAACTTCAAGCTGCAGCAAGATGACATCGATGCAATCCAATACTTGTACGGTGAGATATGCCACAATAGTTTATTTTATTAAACAGGTATAATTAGGAACAAGACAAAATAGAAACGACTTCCTGAATAGAAATGAACGTTTTTTAAAGAAACACTCTACCCTTTTCAAACTAACGAAAGTTTACAATGTTACAAATAAAGAAACTGCCTCTTTATGTCTTCAAATTAAAATCTAAAGACCTTGCACAGGAAGATGTCAGTAAAACACCAAAAAGTCCCAAGAGTCGCTGTTAAAATCCCTTTCATGGGTTTAATTTATCAACGGCTCGATTCGATTCGGCGATTACGTAAGGGTGTGGATTACAGCTCTTGGTATACGGCAGAATCCATTGTGTTGTCCCTGGTGATGTCCTTTGCATTCAAAAGCAATTCTTTAGTCCTAAGAAGAAAAGATATCAGCCTATTCTATCAAGGGGCGGCCTGTTGCCCAAGGCGTTGAGACAGGGCATCAGTATTGAATCGCTGACTAGCGTTGCGTCCACCGAAGGTAACTGACTCAAAATACAAGGCAAGACATGTCTCTATCTGCGAGTCGTTTCTTTTACTCCTCATAAGCGGTCTTGAGGCAGCTGCGATGCCAGAATGCTCTTATCCGTCATCCATCACGTATGAAATCAACAGATATCACCGCCCCAGCTTGGTGCGGAGATCATCACAGGCTAAAACCAGGTTTACGTTTTCGACGAATGCACTATTGNTTAGAGGTACAATTCTAAAATAACACTTTTATTTCCTGTCAAAGTTTTGAGGCTTAATACCCTAAAAGGAACCGCAAAAACTCCTGCTGTGACCTTTTGAGGCTGAGCACCTTAAGAGGCAACAAAACCGTTTTTTTAACCATAAAAAGTACGACGAACACCCCGCCCTTTTTATATGGGATTTGCCCCCCTTCCCCTCCCCGGGACTCAAACTCCTTTGAAATTCTTGCTATATTTGTTTGACAATTGGGCACTTAAAGTTCACCAAAGACACTTAAGAAAACCAAGATCTTCTGTTCAATACTTCATTAGGGGTATGTTTTATGAAAGATTAATACTATTTCCAGAAGTGGGTTCATAGAACGGAGACTAACTCTACATTACCGAACTCGCCTCCTTACTTCGCTCACAGATAATTAAAATTCGAAACCTTTTTAGATATTTTCATCAGGAAAACACAAAATTTGCCAGGAGCGTGTACGAGAGGGACGACAGATGGATTTTTCCGAAATATATTTCCTATAACAAGACTAATGAGTCATGTGACTTATAGTTACATAGCTAGAAATATACTGATACAAATTTTGTTTTCAATTTATTTCCAGATCGCCTGCCACAGAAGCAGAAGAAACTTTGATCGCTTTATGTAACCGTCAGGGAAAATAAATGAATGTTAATAAACGCATCAAAAATGAAATTCGTACAGTTGCTTCAATTTAGCCAAGTCATCTCCAAAAGGCTCACATGCGTCTTCCGATCAAAAATGGCAGAAGACTCTGGTCAAAAGTGAGAGCCGTAATCTGGAACTAAATCAATATTCGTTTAACATGCGTGGTAACTGAACAAACTAGCCACTCTGAAAAAAATTCTTTATTGTTCACCTCGCTTTGTTTTTTTCCCCATCATATGAATACTGCCGGAATAAGTTCCTTCTCGGAGAAAAGGCAACATCGATGACCGCAATGCAAATAAACAGTGTAAAATATTTACATCTTATATAACAATTTCTTCCACCTTGTACTTTTTACAAACAAACAAAATCAAATTGCTGTTTGTCGATTTCTCTTGTAACTCACACCACTCAGGCTTAGTGTTTGACTCCACGCCTTCGCGGTCGTTCACGGTTACTCCAGGCCTTCGCGGTCGTTCACCGTCATTTTGAAGCTTGCTGCTAAAATACAGTGTGTTTTTATCCACCAGCGGTAGCAAATCTTGGTACCCTAGACCCCTGCCTGCTGAGCACAGTGACCTGTCAGACGGTAGAACAATGAGAAAATTACACCATGTACAGCTAATTAAATAATTCCATTTTAAGTTTAATTTTAGTGCCTGGAAACACAACAGGACACAAATTTTAATTTTTGATGTTCTTTGTATCTCCACTAAATACAAAACGCATATTTTAAGCTTAGTTCTGAGAATTTGGCGATACATCAAACCGAACAAAGGATAAAAACTGAACTATAATTAGCCTCATCAACAGTGATTAATTTTGGTGCAAAATTTCAGCGTTATAATAGACCTTTTCCGCATTCCAACAAACAATAGCGCCGAGTCGAGGTCAGGGTGGACAAAAATATAGTAAATGTATGAAAATGTCCACCCCAACCTCGCTCTGGTGCTTTTGTTCGAGCGCACTGAAGTGGAATGCGGGAAAGGTCTATTTCACATGTGAAAGTATAAATTTGTCATGACAAGGTTTGGCGTGAAATTTCTCAGTACAATAAACAAGTCAAAGACCCACGATTGTAAGCGTAATTTGCCACCTATGATATTAAAACGAATCATATGGTATACTCGTGAAATTAGGAAATAATTTCACTTGCGTTTTCTTAGAATTCTTATAATTTCCTGAGCCTTTTTTCCCCATACTGATTTTACGTATTTGAGCGGCGGTGAATAGTTAGAGACGTTTTTCTGTTTTGGCGTGATTTATTCAAGGACTACAAGAAAAGAACACAAAATAAGGGGTAAGTTTCGCAGGTTGCCGTAAACGAAATTCCTAGCCTCTCTATACCATCTACATACTACGGAATCTTGGTAGTTGTTAGTTTTCTTTATTCTCATTATCTGTCTTCATCACCCGTAATACTCAACGCCACCTCTCACCTAAAAACAGTGACACGTCATCAGTGTGGTCAGCATTGCGCAGTCTCCCGGTGATCTCCTCGTTACGAACGATGGGAAGGAAAAGCTGGACGAACTCGGTCGAGTACGGAGGAGCAATCATTTCTAAAACCTGGGGAGAGAAAACGTCCAAACCGAACAGTTAATGGTATTATCCAAGTCGCACAATAACGATTTCTTTGAGTTGCAAAAACAGAAATCGAAATACTCGGGGGAACAAGCACCATTTTACACTAAGGTTCCCTTGCCAAGAACTACTTGAACCTGTGTTGACGTAAGGTGAAGACTTGAGAGCTTTCTATTTCTCGAAATTCTTTCGCGCTTAGACAATGCAAACAGAAAATGTTTGTTACGAAGCGTCTACCTGGGAAACCCTGTCAAACATTTTATTGAACAAAGATGCGGAAATTGCTTCACTTACCTCAGTCACGAAGTGTCTTATCAGCGAGTTATCTGTGTTTTGTTTTTCCAGACAGCTGTTGATGTAGCTGATCACTGGCACCACATATCCGCGGCTAAGAAGATGAATCATTCGATCCAGAACTGTTTTCTTAAACTCAAGCTACAGTCAAAGTAAGCAAAGAAAAAAAAGTTATAGTCTGCATACACGCCACATCTCCGGCTTCCATTTAGCATGGAGAGACTAAGAGTATTTCAACTCACCCCTGGATGGAATGCTAGTCCATCGGAGAGTTACTTCTCAGCATTAATTGCGACTGTACTCATTTAGTTAGTTGATTGCACAGGTTTCTCTCAATAGATCTTTTTTGCTTAGGCGGTTTGTTGTCCCATTTCAGACCAAGTGATGATACTCCTGAAAATTCTTGATTTCAAATTTTCAAATAGTCGGGTGTATATGAATGAATAATTTTAAGATGGACAAAAGAATAATTATCTATAGAATATCACGTGGTCTGTGATGGGAAAACAAACCGTCCAAGCTAAAAAGGTCAATTGCTGTCCTTGGAATATCACTGTTCATGCTACTGATGGCTGCATATTGCTGAGCTGCCACTTTCTTGTCTCTTTTCTCTTCAAGATAAACTGAATGTGCCGAAAAAGTGCCAAGCGCAAAAAAACCCGGTGAAACAAAATAGTCGGGTTTGAGTGACACGCGTCAAATCCAGTCACGCAAAAGAGCGCGCGCGCACTACTCGACCGCGCGCAACATATCTCAAAATGACGTCACAAACGATCAGCTTCTGTTGTCAAATCAGATGGATTGGCGCGTACGAGGGAGAAGCATTTCGGATTACGCGGTAAAGATCTTCCTTTCAATTCCTGTCCTCACGTATGCTGTCACAGAGATTCTTATCTGTTGTTTGGGGAACCTCATTCTCCGTTTGGTTCATAGCTTGTGTTCGTTGGCATTTGATAGATTTTACAGCAAATTTGAAAATGGCAAGATAACCTGGCAAGTTCCACTTAAAGATAAATATCGTCGAAAGGTCGCACTTAAAAAAGCTCAGACTTATGAAGAAAAAACCTTTTCTGGAGTTAAACAAGCAAGCGGAACAGACTTTTATAGGCCCGCAGAGAGTCCAGAGATGTTTGGGTCCCTCAAGAAAACTATTGAATCAAAGGAAAGGTTACAAACTACAGTAGAGAGTCGAAACCAACAGAACCTAAATACAATAACAAACACGACAGAGAGATCACCTCGACTGGTAACAAAGAAATGGGTTAGACAGGAAATAATTTGGAAAGTAGACAGAGATATAAAGGAAGACGATGCTTCATTACATGAAAACTCTGCTGCAAAATGTCAGACTGATACTGGAGGCCAACACGAAAAGGAGGAAATATCAACGCTTGCTTTAGAGGACCATGGAATGGAGGAGGGTGAATGGCATCCAAGACAAGAGAAAGCTTGTGAATGCAATCTAAGAGTAGATACAAAAAACTGTGAAAGCAAGGAAGAAGAACACTACTCTTCAAAAGTTTGCCCTCTCTCGTATTTTAATGCCATCTCATGTAAGAGTGCAAAGGAAAATACAAACGGTTTAAAAGAAGCTAACACGTCCATACTTGTATCTGATAGATCAACACTATCAGAAGAACGGTGTTACTCGAGTGCTTTTGTAAATTCACCTGCTGCCACAGCGACACAAGCAAAGCACTCTCCTGTGTCAACACCTTTAGAAGCTAGAGGAGCTCATATAAGCAAATTCCCCTCACCTGAACACCTTGATACAGTTGGCGTAGCACCAGCTTGTGTTACTACAACACCGAACTGCGCAAATGCAGCAAGAGTAGCAGAAGAGGAAACATCTCAGACAGAATTGTTTAACTCTCGCCTTGAGGATCTCTTCAGGAACAAACACAACAAAGATACAGAAGTGACAAGGTCTGATCTCCATCAATCACAAGGCACACTGAAGGTTAGAAATGCAAAGATGGAGCAGCCAGGAAAATTCAATGCATTACATTACCCGGAAATTCAAAATGAAAGCCAGAAGAGGGTTAAGGCTAAGAATGTTTGGTCAAAACACAGAGTAAATAATGGAAAACGCTTTAGATTCCGTTTCATGTCATTGAGGTCAGTTCTAAGAAACAACAGGATGCCTCAAATGTGAGAGTGATAGTAACAGCATTGAAACTGTATCAGTTGCATTTTAAATAGTTAAACTTGTTGCCAGGCAACATGAACCTTACTTTTTAGATTAAATCAGAAAATGTAAGCTTACATCATGAGATAAAAATACACTCAAAATTCCAAACACTTCCTTTCTGTGTTTACCGTATATTGCACTACTTTTAGCCAATACTAACTAGAATTGAATGTATCACTTGATTGCATCACAAGATAGAAACTGTTGTTTTCTCCTTCTGCAATTAATTATGGCACTACCACAAAACAAAACAAAGTATTGTAGCAGAAAGACCCTTACCTCCACCAAAGTGTCTAGAGGTGTAGGTGACTCAAACAAACGGATCAGTACGTTAAGCACCAGACGATGCTGTAGAGCATGGCAAGAACTAATCTGCACAAAATGAAAAGAGAAATAAAGTTGAGAGGACAGGTGATGGGGAGGGATGGAGAAGAAGTGGAGGAAGGGGAGGGAGGGGACACAAGGCATGTCCGGTGCCAAACCTACTCACTTACTTCATCTAACAGAGCCAAATGGACTGGGGTTGAGTCTGTGAGAAGCTTAAAAAACGATGGATCACATACAGTGCAGTCAACCCATTTTAGCAAACCCATGGCTACAACAGGAAACCTGCAAAACATTAAAAAGCGAAATGGAACTCTTGAGTTCAGAATAAATGGAATTACCCATACAGCAACACAATATCCCTGGATCTCGAGTAAAAGATTTTCTTTATTGTCACCCTTCTGCTTGAAAATGTGATGATGTTGTTCAAGGAAATTATCCCTCGCAGGAATACCCTTCATTCATTTTTCCAGATCAAATTCAAACCTTGAAGTGTTCAGTTTGAGAAGGAAGGAAAATTAGAAAAATTTAGTCCTGTAAGAGAGATTCCAGCCCAAACAACTTGTACCCAGTGTTAACTCCTCCGACAAAAGATTGGGAAAGAACATACATGTATCAGTCATTATCTATCAATGAGGCCTAAGCAAAGTAAAACCAAATGATGAAATGATACCCATTAGACAACATACTGAACTGTCTAGCATTGAAGGTCTGCAATGTGTGCAGAGAGAAAGAAACAGGCCACACCTTATACATTGAAACAGGACACCCACTTCAGCTAACAGCTGGGAGCCTTTCTTGGTCTCCTGCACACACAGTAAGTGTATCTTATCTATTGCCTGGGAAGTTGTTTTCAGCTCATCTCTGTTCAGCATTGATCGTTCATTCTACAAATAAAAAGTTAAACAGAACTCCATGAGCAAAATCGATGCTAGACATTTGCTGGCACACTGTAAAGGTGTACATTTCGGCATACAGACAGAGCAGCCTAGTTGCTGAGATTTAACAGCAGTTTACATAGCATGAAGCCCTTATGGGTATTCCTGCTCCAACTCATTACAGGTATCTTCTGAGTATTTTGTCAGGAGCCTACCCTGACAGAGGGAAGCATTGTTAGTAGTTATTTGTCTTTAGAAATTTGAGCACCTAATACAGGGCTTGAAAAAAACTTGAAATCCATCTTGCCCTTTGGACAAGTAGCTCTCAAATTTTGCTTGCCCTGGAAAAGTCTTAGGTTACTTTTTTACTTTTTTACTTTTTTACTTTGCTTATTGGGCAAGTGAGAATGAAAACTTATTTGCCCAGCAAGAAAATCTACTTGTCCCAAATGACCAGACAGCACATTTTTTGAGCCCTGCTGATAGTATCCATAAATTTTCTGTACATGAATTGTCAGTGTTTTGCCCAAGAACACAAAACCACATAAATTATTCAACATCCTGACTAGACTGGACAGACCTTGAATTTTGATCCACTAGTCCAAGTCCTAAAGTGTTTATGTACTTACTTCAATCCATGTTTCATGGACAGATGCAGCATATGCCAGCAGGTAAACATATTTAAACTTGTGTTCTGGATTTAAGTGTTGACCAGGTTTGAACAAAGCTTCCAATAGAAGTTCTAAATGAAAGGAAAGCAATGCTTGCTTCAGTTATGGGTGACCAGTTCATGCAGATGGCCAATGAATGTAGACATGCTTGTCAAGTACTCAAACAGATGATATATACATGTGCAATCTACTACAAGAAAGCACAAGTGACGCTCATGATGGTAATACAGGAATCAGTGCAATAAGCTACTTTTGATATTGAAGTATTCAGCTTAGCAACAGAGTGAAAATGACACAAAGAAAGGAAATTGAGTTAGTATGTTAGTTACTAACCCCTCTTGTTTGCATTGTCTACCTCACCTCTCCCCCCTCCTCCCCCCTCCTCCCCCATCAGGCTGAAATTTTATATCTCAAAATTGACCTATAGTGTACTACAGCCATGGGACTACAAACTAAACAGTAATGTAAATACTAACAAGTTTACCAATATCTCTTGAAGTTAATATAATTCATTAACTGACTCATTTTATTAGACCACATGTAATAGCTTCACAGTCTGAAATAACATAGTCTAAAACTTTCACTCACCCAAAAACTGTGGCACTCTGATGATGGCACAAGGAGGAGCCTGGGAACTACTGAACAGCTTGTATAGCTGTAATGGTAAAGGCAGTGAAAAAGGAATATAAGACTTGTCTGTTATTGATTTCAAAGTACAAGCACTACTTCATATATTTAGCATTAAGACAATTTGGAGAGAAATAAATTTCTGTTAAGAATCCAATATAACTGCCTGTTAAACGTTGGTGGAGGGCACTACACTTGGAAGTCAACAGGTTAAGTTTATACTCTTTTCTTCAATAGACTGTGGAAATCATTTACTGCATGTAACAAATTGGTTCACAGGACGGTGACAATGCTTATTGACATGTTGTTCTGCAATCTTACCACTGTGATGTCCCCTGGGTTAAGGGAATTTTTTCCAAGCATGGAAGAAAGAGCAGCACTTGCACGAGGATAAGTTGCTGCACCATTCAGCGACAGTGTGATCTCTGTTACTTCATGTCCACTGAAACAAGTTAAAACATATGTGAGATGTGCACAACATTTGCTTTTGATTAAAAATACTATTTACAAGGCTAAAAGTGCTCAAAACACCAGAATGGAAACAAAAAACTGTTTGACCTAAAATCAAGTCATCACTGGAAACAAGTTAACCTAACAAAAAGAAAACAAAATCAAAAATAAGCTGAGATAAAAAAATGAACTATAACATGTACAACCATGTAATTTTGATTTATGCGAGCTGCACCAGCTTATAGATGCTAATGTAAAGGCATGTGATGATCTTCCTGGCTGCAAAGAAAGCTCAGAACCTGATCAGTTGCAGTTTTCCTTACAGCTGGACATTTCAGAATAACATAGAGTTTAAAAATTTCACCTTTCAACTGCTTTCTTTTGAAGTTCTTGACTGAGTCTCTTAAGTTTAGTTCCTCCATCTGTCTCTTGAGCGATGTGATTTAATAAACACTGTGCATACAGGTAAGTGTGCTGTCCAAAACAAACCATCCTCTAAAGAAAGACAGATTCCAAGGATACATGTAAATGATCAAGGACTGTCTTTCAATAGTTAGCCAGTGATCACACACAGTAATCAACTTGACCACAAGTTGAGCTGGAAAAGCAGAGCTCATAATAACTGTGATGCTCAAAACTTGAGTATAAAGGGAACAAAGTAGATGAAGATGACTTTTCTTTGACTTGATTAACTGTCAATATAATGTTCTCAAAGGAAAAGCCTTCTTCCATTGGTTGAAAGAGAACAACTTTGATAATCCTTTGCACTGGAACACGACCGGCAGAACAATTTGTGCATAATCACACCACTTGATACAGTTTCTTGCAAGCTAAACAAGTCAAGCTTGGGCTTGAAAATAGAGAGCATTTCTGTCATGGTTTTATTTTTCAATTTTTACCAAGTAGAACCAGGGATAAAGGTTAAAATCTCCTTTCTAGCTGTGATGCTTCAGAAGACAACAACCACTGGTGAAAAAAGTCTGTGTTTTGCCATTACTGGCAGTGTTAAACACAAGCTGTGAGTTACTGTAAATGAAAATTCTTCAGACTTACAGAAAATTCTGGCAGGTTGTTGTCAATAGTTTGTTCCCCTTCTTCTAGAAAGGCAGAAGCTGAAGTTTTGAACACTCGAGAAAACACCTCAATTTGATGGCATGCTGTTGACACACTGGTGATCTCTCCTTGATATCCTGCATCTGAAATTAACTGCCAAGGCCACACAAATCATCAGTCAGTGTGATTTTGATTTCAAGATCTTTTAAATGTACATATAAACATACTTTACAAAGTGGGTAATCTACAGTATCTACTACCACAAGTAGTAGCCTGTATGTTCCATTGGAATGATTGGTAATTCTAGATAATTTACAATAAAATTATTAAATAAAACATAGTCAAACTTCCTGTTGGCAGGCACTTTTGGGACCTGAACACCTGAACACCTGTGCAGTTAAGAAAGTTTTCTGCTTATTGGAAGGTAAAATATTGCGTTTATTTGTGGCTGGGACCATAACAAAGTGATACACTTAAGGAATCTTCCTGCTGGAAGTGTCTGTTAGTAAAGGTTCCATCACATCTACTATGTCATGATACCTTAATAGTAAAATTGAGCATCAGACAGTCTGGATAGTGCTCAGCCAGCTTGTAAAACATGGAACGCCATGTCTGATGAACAATCATGTCTTCTAACCAAGATGGTGTCTGTTAACAAGAGAAGAAGGAAATTCAAACAAGTCAATTTGTATCTCATAAAAATCATCAATTAAAAGCATTCAATCTGATCAGGGCTGTCATTAAGGGCTGTAGCCCATAACACCTGTTACGGCTGAGTATGCTTGATTTTCCCTTG